GGTGGAGAATCCCTCTCTTAAAGACAAATAACTAAATACATAATTATACCAGGCATTTGAGGACAAGTTAAACCAAGTGAGAGGACGAGTGGGCTGGGGATGTTATTTCAGATAGACGGGGAGAGAAAACCTATCTGAGAAAGTAACAAATAAGGAGACACCTGAAAGAAAGAAATGAACTCTGGCAGAACATTTAGGCAAAGGAAAATAGGCACAAAGACAATAGAGAGCACGTGCTAGGTGTGTCTGAATAACAACAAAGCCAGGATTGCCAGAGACTAGAGGAGAAGGATATGAGAAGCCGAGATGGGAGGAAAGGGGCAAGTGCTCTATACTGCAGTGCCTTGAAGACTAGGATAAGGTCGCTTCATTTTACTGAGATTAGAAGCAAATTAAGGTTTTGAGCAGAAAACTCTCCCATAACCCGCCTTGTTGTTTTTTTAAAATGGTCCCTCCAGCTGCTGTTGATGGTAGCTAGGCAGAACACAGGGGTCAAGAGTAAAACTGGTGAAGGCAATTACAAACCTACTGCAGTTGACCAAGCAAGAGCTTAAGGCAGCCTCGAATAAGGTGGCAGGCAGCACTAAACCCACTGCTCAGGAGTCAATTCTAACTCAAGGAGACGCTAAAGACACGACAGAACCACCCCTGAGGATTTACAAATACAATGCTGTCTGTGATAGGAGTGCATCTATCCGCTTTCAAGTAAACACAATCAACACAATTATTATTCAGATTTATGCACCAACCACAAAATCTAGTGATGAAGAAAGTGAAGAATTCTACTAAGAGCTTCCGTTGGAAATTGATTAAACCTGCCATCAAGATGCACTAATAATTACTGGCGATTGGAATGCAAAGGTTGGAGGCAGAGAAGAAAGAATAGTAGCTGGAAAGCGTGGTCTTGGTAAGAGGAACAATGATGGAGATCTCATGACAGAACTTTGCTTGACCAAGAACTTCTTCATCATAAATACATTTGTTTTTGGTTTTTTTTTTTTAAACATTTTATTAGGGGCTCATACAACTGTTATCCCAATCCATACACAAATCAATTGTGTAAAGCGTATTTGTACATCATTTCTCAAAACATTTTCTCTCCATTTAACATAAATACATTTTTTTAAAAACAACACAAAAGGTGAATTAAATAAGTATGGTGAGAGGCTACACCACCAATGCACACCTTTCTTGGTTTTAAATTACGCACTATTTTCCCTAGATTGTTTCACACAATTGCCTCTTGATTCATGTACAAGCTCCACATGAGCACAGTGAAGTGTTCTGGAATGCCCATTCTTCTCAGGGCACTCCATAGTTTGCTATGATCCAGAGTCAAATGTCTTTCATAGTCAAGGAAACACACGTAAACATCTTTCTGGTATACTCTACTTTCAGCCAAGATCCATCTGACATCAGCAATGATATGCCTTGTTTGACATCCTCTTCTGAATTCAGCCTGAATCGCCAGCATCTCCCTGTCAATGTACTGCTGCAACTGTTGGTGTGTTATCTTCAGCAAAACTTTACTTACGTGTGATAACAACGATACTGTTCTGTAATCTGAACATTCTTTTAGGTCACCTTTCTTTGGAATGGGTACAAATGTGGATCTCTTTCATTCAGTTGGCCAAATAGCTGTCCTCCAAATTTCTTGGAGCAATTTGTCAGGAAGTTACTTGTTGAAACATTTCAATTGGTCATCAAGTCCTAGAGCTTTGTCTTTGACTAATGCTTTCAGTGCAGCCTGAACTCCTTCCTTCAGTACCATTGTTTCTTGAAATGGTCGAATGTCAGCCTGTTCTTTTTGGTGCAATGACTGCTTATTCTTTCACTCTTCTTTTGATGCTTCCTGCTTCATCCAATATTTTGCCCACAGAATCTTTCAGAATTGCAACGTGAGGCTGGAATTTTCTATTTAGTTCTTTCAATTTAAGCAATGTTGAGAAGTGAAAAAAAGAAAGAAAGAAATGCTGAGAAGTGGTCTTCCTTTTAGGTTTTCTAACTCTAGGTTTCTGCACATTTCACTATCATATTCTCCTTTGCCTTTTCAAGTTATCCTTTGAAATTTTCTGTTCAGCTCTTTGAGTTCATCATTGCTTCTATTTGCCTCAGTGACTACAATGAAGAACAAGTTTCAAAGTCTCTTCGACATGCACTTTGATCTTCTCTTTCTTTCATGTCATGTGGCTTTTAGCTCTCTTCTATACTGATGGTCTTGATGTCCTCCCACAGCTCATCAGGACTTCTGTCATTAGTGCTTAATGTATCTGTTGTTGAGATATTCAGGAAACTCAGGTATGACAGACTCAAGGTCATATTTTAGCTCTCATGGACTTGTTTTAATTTTCTTCTGCTTCAACTTTACATATGAGCAATTGATGGTCTGTTCCACAGTCGGCCCCTGGCCTGGTTTTAGCTGCTAATATTGAGCTTCTCCATGCTCTCTTCCTCCACATGTAGTCAATTTGATTTCTAGTTATTCTATCTGGGAAATCCACATGCTCATGGAAGCAGCAGACAAGAGATTAAAGGACATGCTGCATTAAGTAACTCTGCGGTACAAGACCTCTTTAAAGTGTTGAAAAGGAAGGATGCTACTTTGAGAACTAAGGTGTGCTTGACCCAAGCCATGGTGCTTTCAATCACTTAAAACACATGTGAAATATGGACATTGAATAAAGAAGACCAAAGAACAATCGATGGATTTTAACTATGGTGTTGACAAAGAAGACTGAAAGTACAATGGACTGCCAAAAGAACAAACAGGTTTTTCTTGGAAGCAGTACAGTCAAAATGTTTCTTCGAGGCAAAGATGGTGAGACTTGTCTTATATACTTTGGCCATGTTGTCAGGAGAGACCAGTCCTGGGAGAATGAGACCATGCTTGGTAGAGTAGACGGACGGCAGGGAAGAGAAACGCCTTTCAGGAGATGAACTGATACAGTGGCTGCAACAATAGCCTCAAACATAAAACAACTGTGAGGATGGCGCAGACTGAGGTGGTGTTCTGCTCTGTGGTTCACAGGTTGCCATGAGTCAGAGCTGACTCCAAGGCACTTAATAACAATCCCCTTTAGGAAAGCCACCTGCCACAGCACTCCGCCAGGAAAGGACTGGGGCTGTGAACTGCTGAGCTTTCTAGATCAGCCGAGCATGGCTCCACCGCGTCCCCTCGGCTCCTGGGGTAGCAGCAGATGGGGGAAAAGATTAGGGTGCAGTTCTCAAGTGGAGCCAATGTGGGAGATGGAAATAGTCATGAGAAATACCAAGATTTTGACTTAAACAGCTAGAAAAGTTGAATTGTTCACTGAAATATGAGACTTCAAAAGGGACTGAGCTGAGAAGTATTAGTTTAGTTTGAAGATGCTAAGTCTAAGATTGTTTTACATATGTGAGGTGCATTATAGAAAATCTTAAAGGTAGGTGGATATGAGCCTGGAGTAGGGGAAGAGTATACACAGGAAATATGAATTTGAATGTTATCACCGTACAGACCAAATTTAAAGCAATAGGATAAAGAGAATAGGATAAATAGAATAAAGGAGAGTCCCTAGAAAAACAGATATTTTCATCAAGTAAATAAATAATCACTGTCAAATTAATCCGTTTACATGAAATAATTGTTGAAAATTATGCAGCTACAATGAAGGATAATGTACTAAACAGTTCTCAAGGGGCAAAAAAACAGTTAACTCAGCTACTAGAGACACTGGGAAAATGTAGCTAAAGGAATTCCAGTACACTGAATTCCACAAATAAAATGGATAAATGAATCACAACAGGGAGCATTCTAAAAATTACCAAAAATGTTCACTGTCTTCTTTCAGATCAAACAATACTTTATGATTATATTTCAAGTTACTTCATTTTTAAACCATGACTAATTACAAAGCCAATGCTTCCAAAACCAACATTGACCTCACTTTTAAAACATTCTTGTCAGGATAATATTTTCTTTCTAAAACATTGCACTCATTCCTTTGAGCCAACCCTAATATTGAGTTCCCAAAAGTTTAATCAGCTACATTTTTTTTTCTGTCAAATAGGCCAATTGTTATACAATTTGGGGGAGGAATTAAAAAAGGTTATTAAAAAAATAATGACTTTAAGTGGTAGCCTGAGGGGCTGGGGGTGGGGAACAGCACTCCCCTCCCTCAGGGTCCCCCACTAAGAGCCACTCTATTTGGTCCATGCCTTGTTACGAGGGAAGACACATATTGCCCGATTTGGATATTTTATGCTGACTTTGGTTATGACTAAACACTGTCTGAAAAATTTCTAATTGAACTAGATCACTATGACCGCAACAAAATTGATTCCCTCATTCTAATTCTTTGTGCCTCTGAAGCTCCTACCCCAGACCTAAGTAATCAACAAAGGGAGAATCAGATAAGAAAAGCCTTGGGTTATAAATTTAACCCTGTATATTCCGGATTCTCACGAGAAGGCTAACAGGATGCTAATATTAGGAAAACATGATTTGAAATGCAAAGAGATTTTTATTACTTTTCACCAAAGCTTAATAGAATAAAATATGCAAATGAAGTGTGTATTTTATACAAAATATTCATAAAGAAAATAGCGTTTGGATTCGGGGATAAACCAAAGAGAATGGCAAATGGAAATAGGAGAATGGCTACTTCAAGACAAATATGCTAAGCCCTATTTAAAAGATCTTAATACTGTATATAATGTAATTATCAACAAATCCTCTAAGCTTTAAAGAGGAATATGGGTTAAACATAAGCTCTATTATCCAATTAGATTATTTTCATGTTCCTATGTAATCATAAATAATGGTTTGATTAAAAAACAACAACACAAAACTACATTTAATGTCAAGTTTCTAAACTGCATGATTCAGCTAGTGTTAAAAAATTAGAAAAAGCACCGGCTTGAGAACAGTAAAAATCATAGCAATGGCAGTCAGAGCCATTATAGTAGTTCCCTGGTAGTTCTATGAGTTACCTTACTGACTGACGGTCATAGTGAGCCTATGCAGTTAGATACTATTGTAATATCATCAGCATTGTACAGAGCAACCCACAATACCAAGAGAGTCAAACAATTGGCCCCAGGTCACATGTGTCAAAGTAACCAGCCCAGTAGCATCTCTCTCTCACTACCTTAAACTGTAGATGTGCTACATTGCTCCCTGGGTGGTCTCAATTTTCTTATACAAAAGAGCAGGATGCTGAGCCACACCTTTCTCTTTCTTTTTTGTGAAGGCTCTTTAGAGATGTTTCTAGAGTTTTATAAAAAATTAAGTTTTCACTGCCAACCAATGAAGCTTTAAACTGCTTCTGATGTCCACACAATGCTTCCACATGCTTTAAAGGATTCTGTTCAGATTTTTTTTTTAGTATGAAGGTTAAAATGTTTCCAAAGCTTAGAATGTTCTAAAACTAAGGGATAGTAGCTAAGGTATCTTTCAATTCTAAAATCTTGGTTTCTATCTGGAAAGACTTTATCTAATCATTAAAAACAAAGAGTTCCATTACCTTCAGTCGAATGAAAGTATCTACTAGCAAACCCTTGGCATAATCTTAACCTAAGAGTATGTAGGATAAAGAGCCCTCTCCTCCTTATTAAGGATTCATTAGGAAAGGCTTGATTTCTCTGACTTTTTCCCAGATTGTGGGAATGGATTCACTAGTGGATCATAAAAACATATGGTTTGCCAAAGATCTAAAACAACTGGAATGAAAAACATCAACTAACTTTATTGCAAATATTAAGGTCAAGTGTTCCTTCATGAAATCTATCTGATTAGGTAGCTATATGTTCAGCCATGATGTAAAAGATATTTCTTAATATAAGACTCAACCAAATATCAAATAAGTCACTGGACTAGAGTTCTAAGGTACAATTCTGTTCTTTGGCTAAGTGACCTTTTTAGGAGCCACACCTCAAGCATTTGTTGTTTTGCATTCATACTGACAAAACCGATACGCTGAAGAGCCAATTCTACTACTAAACACACACACACAATATTCTAAGAATGTAGCCTGATGAGTGGTTTTACAAAGATACATACACATAAAACTTGTCAGGCAACTCATACAGTTTAAGAAGAAAGCTGGGCTTCTTGGAGAAACAGTAATTCTGAGTCTGGGAATAAATTTACAAGATGAGATTGGGACATCTTGTTTAATCAGAAAGCAAAGTAAAACTATAGGAGCAAACCTATGGTCCCTAATTTATGGCATACATAGTGTAACTAAAATGGGACAAACAGCATAATATAAACTAGATAACAGGGGCCTCCTAAAAATTAAATATGCATGCTTATCAAAAGACTGCCCCAAAGGAATAAAAAGAACCTACAGGCCAGGGGGTGGTGGGGTGGTGGTGGGGGATATTGAGAGCAATGATGTATCTAACTAGAGTGTAATCTCTAAAATATGTATCTAACTAGAGTGTAATCTCTAAAATATAACTTCAACACTTCAACAACAAAAAGAGAAACAATCCAATTATTTAAATGAGTAAGGGACCAGAACAAATGCTTCAGCAAAGAAGGCAGTTAGGTAGCTAACACATGAAAAGATGCTCATGAACACTGACCGTGAGAGCGATGTAAATAAAAACGAGGAGATACTCTGGCAATACCGGTGAAGAAAATCCAGAGAACTACAATCCTGAGAACAACAAATGCGAGGAGGGCTATGAGAAGTCTGGAACTCTCATCAGCTCCTGAGTGGGGCTGCAAAATGGTACAACCACTGTGGAAAATGATATGGTGCCCCCTTAAAAAGCTAGAAATTACCACATGATCTAGCAACACCACTTCTTAGCATCTAAGAAGAAACTATGGGTCTCTTCCAGCTTGGAGCAAAGCAGAACTAACCACCCAAGGGCTCAAGGAAGCAATTAACTGAATGGACTAAGGGCTCAATGCTTCCTGTAGCCTGAGACCAGAAGAACTAGATGATGCCCAGTTACCTCTCTGATCAGGACAATAAAGAGTCCTGGTTTGAATGGTTAAATAAATGTAAACCCAAAACAAAGAAATAAAGATCAGACTTAATTGATCTGCAGAGACTAGATGAACATTAATGTCCATTGCCTTAAGGTAATTAATTTTCACTTAAAACCAAAGACACTAAAAGAGGTCACCTTTTAACCATATAAAAGATGAGATAAAATAAACAAGAACATCCATGAAAAATGTGCTTCTTAGAACAATCAACTATACAAACACAAAAAGGCAACATGTACCCACACCAAAGATGAGAAGACAGGGAGGGTCACAAAAACCTGATAAAGGGAAACCAGACATTCAGGGGAGAGGTGACCACACATTGTGGTGATGATAACCAATCATGAAGCAATTTGTGTAGGGATGATTGGTTGGAAAACTCCATCACTGTGCACCCTTTCACCTACAACACAATAAAATTTCACGTAGCAAAAAAGGGTAAAGAAGCTATTAAAGAATTAGGGTTGTGTCAAAAGGACACAGGTGGCAACCTGAAGGCCAACAAATGACCAAAGATAGGACAACTGGGGCACCAATTGGAATAGATTGAGACAAAATACATTTATAAAACATAGAAGATCACATGAAACAACATACTGACCAACTCCGAGGGCTTACTAAGGCACCAACTTATTTTCATAATTGATACATAATAGTGAAGAATCAAATATGCCTTTCTCTCATCTCTCTAAAAATTATGGAAGCTGTGCCTTGAGACTTTGTGAAGGCAAGTTCTTCTTTATAGAATTCCAGGTTGAAAAAAAAGCAGTACAAAGGAAGACATTACAGGTAACCCAGGTGGGTAAATAATCAGATTAACAAATTTCCATTCGTGATTTCTTTTTTCAAATTTTACAGTTAAAATGTAAACCCATACTCCAAATAAAATACTTTAAAATGACACAAGTATCTAACCCTATTCTCTAACAAAAAATTTTAACCAGAAACTTACAAAACGGCTGAACTGAAGAACAAGCTCATTTCATGATCATCTTCTTGAAGCACTGAATTTATTTTCTTTCCGGTTGCTTTACTTATAGATGTCTTAAGTTTCTTAGCTAGCTTTTTTGGTGTGTTGATCATAGAAGATTCTTCTGTACAGCAACTATATACTTCCACCTTTATCTGAAAGTCTGGCCCTGCTTTGTTACTGAAAACAAGGGCACGCATAATGTTAGACATTTAACTCAGCAGAAGATAAAACTATAACACTCTCTAATGTTTCCATAACATTTAAAATCAGTATTTGAAGTTTAGTTTATTCATAAACACATTAATTAAACAGAATCTCCCAGTGTTTATTTTATATCTAAATGGCCTGGAGTTACGACAACTTTCAGAGCTGTCAGTTTCTAAAAGTAGGGCACTCTTGTCTCAATCTAATGCAGAAAGGCATATTAATTAAAGAGAATGAAATGACCTGGCCATCTTGTAATTCCTTTACTTCTCCATACAATTCCTTTACTATTGTCGTCTTTAAGGAATTTACATTATATTATGATTTCCTGAAATGACTCATTTTCTAAAACTATAGCTGCTGAAATATTTAGTTTTCATTTCTCCTTCATAAAGATTCATTTATAGTCTACTCATAGCTGCTCCCCAACACCCACCACACTTTTGTGCTAAAGAACTATATAGAACATTTCACTAATTGGTATGAAGGGGGTGGGCGGGATTTGAGAAGAGATGAGGGGGCTTCAAAAAGTCCATGGGAAATTTTCTAATACACTGGAATTCCGTTTTTCAGAAACGTTTTGAAGCTCCCTTGTATTCAAGCCATGAGTCTTTTGTGGACATGGGCTGTCTTGGTGGTGTGTACAGTATTCCTCATCCAGCATGGGGCCCGCGAGACAGAAGGTACTCCATCAATCCACCTGCACCCGGCAAGCAGAACTTCCGCCGCTTTCAGACACGAAGATCAGCTTTGCCTCTTTCCAGAAACGGTGAGCTACCTTCACCATAAAAGACGGTGGTCATGTTACCAACAATATCATATATTTAAAACCACAAGAGATCCCTCGGCGGCAGCAGATGTTGCCTATAGACAGCATCCCCTCAGCTTCAGAGATTCTGAAAATGCAGCATGGGCTGTGCAAGATTTAAATGGCCAATCCATACTTTGGACAATTCCAAGAAATAACTTCCAGATATTTTTATAGTTTACTATTTGGCAACTTCTAAACCTCCAGTATTCCTGGTAATGACTACCAAATGTCAATATTTAGAGGAAAACCGGGGATTCATAAATATTGAATACTCATTAAAAGAAACAATCATCATAACAAAAAGCATATTTTTAAACATTTAAAACACTTGTCAGCAGTTATTTTTGAAACAATTTAAAATATTTACAGAATATTTAAAAAAGTATAAATCATGTGCTATCTTGCCAAGTAATCTGTATTGTTCTTCCCTGCAAAAAAAGAAAACAAACAAACAAAAAACCCTGATTTTCATCTTTGTGTTAAAGACAAAAAATACCAAAGTAAGCAGGGGGTGGGGTGGGGAAAGAAAACCTCATTCACAGAGTGATCTTGGTGGGGAAAAAATACACTACTAGTGATTAATAATGGGAATAAATATGTTCAGATATTAAGGAAATTCATTTTTTAGCCTCAATTACCTAAACATTGGGGGATACTTTGGGATACTAAACAAATTCCTTTGTTGCAATGTAACTGGTACATTAGAAGGTCTATATTATTGTTAATCAGCCAGAACAATGCATTTTATTTTTCTGTGCTTTACAGTTACTATGGGACACGAGACAGAGCCATAAAATAGGGTTTGCACTGCTTTGTTGTTGTTATGTGAGTAGCAAAACTAGTCCTATTGAATCAAAACTGTATACCCAAATAGCCAAATATGGCCCAAAAAATCCACATTTAATGATTTTATCTTAACAGTTCAGCAACCATTAACATTTCTATAAGAAGATTTTGACTTTCAAACCCTGAAAGATATACAAATCACAAACTGATTTTAGTCTAATCGAGCCTTTAAGAAGGCCAGGAAGAACTTATGTTAGTTAAAAATGATTTCTATGGCTATCTGAGGAGTTCTTCCTGGTACCGTATTATGACCACAATAAAACGAGCCTGTAAAAGAACAGGGGCAATAAAAATAGTCCTGAGGATCACCCAATTTTTTATTGTTTTGGAGTACATGAAAGAAGTGCACTAAAAGAAATAAAGGACATCTTGAAATTTTACTAAAACGCTTCGCCTATGGTACATATTTCATTCCTGCCTTGTAAATGAAGATGTTATACGATTTTAGCATTTTTGGAACTAAACCACCTATATAAGAGACAAAAACCCATTTTATGTTCAAATTCACTTTCTATTAAGTCGTGTTATTGTGAGGTTCTAGGAAATGTGTAGCTTGGATAAGAATGAACTATAAATCTTTATAAAGTTTATAAACATTTATTAAATCAAACCAGCCAAATATTTGCTACTCATTTAGTTGCCCTTTTATTTAACATAGAAGAATTTCAAGTGTAGAAATGAGTTTCTTTTAAGTACAGTAATTTTCAAATACCATTTTAAACATTTAAGATCTGTATGCTTCCAAAATCCAAAATCTAATAATTATGCTTGTACTTAACAAAAAAAAAAAAAAAGGTAGGATAGAATTTTAGATTACTATCATTCTCTGAAGATTAAAAAAAAGAGTACTTACAATATGGTTACATTTTCAAAGCATATATCTGTGATTGTTTTATCCACAATCACCATGTCAGTGGCAAAAACTTCAGCTCCCATTTTGAATAAACAAAAAATGGCATAGCGCTGTGATCCTAGAGGAAGAAATCATTTAAACAAAGATCCAAGTGATAAATCATGTCTACACCATGTTAAGCCTACTTGAACAAGAAAAAAATTAGCTTAAATATTTAATAAATTCTTAACTTTTAAATATCGTATCTTGAAACTCAACTTTTTATAGTGATCAATAGGTAGTACTTTGGAAGAACAACAGAAAACATGGGAGAAGGAAGACAGCAGTCGGTGTGAGATATGAAAAGAATAATAATTTACAATCTATCAAGATCAAGGGGCCATGAGAGTAGAGTGGGGAGGGAGGGATAAAAAGAGGAGCTGATTATCAAGGGTTCAGTAGAAATTAAATGTCTAGAAAAGAATGAAGGCAAGCAATGTACAAACATGACTGATACAATCGATGTATGGATTGTAGGAAGAGTTGTAAGAGTCCCCAATAAAATGATCTTTTTTTAAAAAATGATCTTTTAATTAAAAAAAATTACCTGTTCCAAATCCCTGGAGTAATTGATAATTAAACATACTGTGTGCAACTCAAAAAAAAAAAAGGTAGTACTTTATTCAACTAGTACACAACAATTAAACTGGAGTATACCAATAAATACAAGAGAACTTCAAAAGGTTCATGGAAAAATAAAATAATAAAAATAGAAACTTTATTTCTAAATGCAAGCTCCACCAAGATCAAGCTATAACACCAGCCAGTTAGTCTATCCTTATAGAACTGACAGTTCTGGAATTTAACCACATCAATGCAATTTTCTTACATTTCCTGAAGAAAAATGGGTACCCTTTAAAGACTTTTTTTTTAAGATTAGGAAACAGAATAAATAAAACAAAAAGCCAAGCCTCATTGCCATCAAGTCAATTCTGACTCATAGCAACCCAAGTAAGACTGAAAGGTCCTGATGATTTCCCATCAAGACCCTAGCAAAATTTTCCTCTTTTGATCAGAGGAAGAAGCAGGTGCCTTGTTGTGGTGGAGAAAGACACTCTGGTGAAACTTTCCTGAGAATTTTCTGCTAACCTTTCTCAAAAGCATCTCATAATAAGCAGATGCTGTTGTCCCTTAGCTCTCGAGAAAATGCACAGGCACCATGCCTTGAGCATTCAAAAAACTGTTGCCATGACTTTTGCTCCTGATCTTAGCTTCTGCTTTGACTGGATCGCCCTGACCTCTGGGTAGCCACTGCTTTATGTCTCGTCCTCAGGATTGTACTGGTAAATAGCCGTGTTTCATTACTTGTTACCACTCTTCAAAGAAATGCTGCAGGATCTTGATCCCACTTGTCAAAAGTGTCCACTGAAAGCTTGGCTCATGTCTGCAGCTGATCTGGGTGCAACCTTTTTGGCTCACATTCAGTGGAAAGTTTGCTCAACTTTAATTTTCCAATAAGAATTGTGTAAGCTGAGCCAATTGAGATGTCCATGGGTATTGGTTATTTTCTGCCGTCAATCATTAGACCTCTTCAATTAAGGCATGAACAAATTGTTTCATTGCCAACTGATGCAGATGGTCTGTCATTGAGGGTTGTGGGGGCTTCATCTTAACAACTGTTTCATCCCTTCATAAAATGAGTTACCCATTTGTAAACTGCTGTCTTCTTGGAGGCATCCTGCCCATAAACTTCTCATAAAGCATCAATGATTCACCATTCTTCCACCCAAGGTTTGCCATAAATTTGATGTTCGTTCTTGCTTCAGTTGTAGTAAAATTCATACTGCTCTGATAGCTCTCTTCTCAATACTGATGCCCTAGACTTCTTCCACCCTGTTATAACAAATTAGTTTCTCAGATTGCACATTTTCCAGGGACTCTTTGAAGAGCCCTTGCATATAGACCTCAGCACCAAACTTATAATTCCTAAAAAATTAAGCTTTAACTAATAGCAAATGTTATTATTATAGACATACCATTACCTTTGTTGTTTTGGTTTCTGTCTATTTAAGAAATTAGATTTTTATTAGAAGCTAAGAGAAGTCCCACTAACAACAGCAAAATAATTTCCAAATTATTTTGGAAGAGGAAACCACAAAAGCCAATAAAAAGTAAACATGGGATCATAGAAAACACAGCTGCTGGACCTTTTAATATGGCGGTGTTTTTAAGAAACAATAGGTAATTAAAGAGCTAAATCTGCATTATTAAGAAAATGCCGCTCCAGAAAAACTTATTCTCTATAGTAATAAGAAAGATTTATTTTATTCCCACATGCATTCCTTTTTAAAGCAAATTATATTGCTTAATTGAATAACAAACATACTAAATTGATTTTGTATTCTTCATATAAAACTAATTACACTGAATGATTCAGTTTTTTAAAGTAAGAGGAACAAAGCTATCATAATACACAAGAAAGATAAAGGATTCTCCTATCTTTACTGCTAGAAATAATTTGAGGTTAATTTTCATGACCTAAACAACATATGGATTTGCAATGATTATGGTAAAGCCAGAAAATGCTGGGGAATTTTTTTAAAAAACAGCTTTCCTTTGCACATCTGTTAAATAATCATAAGTCATAAAATAGGGGAGAAACTGATCTCCGAGTTTCTGGTCAAATAAAAGAAATACTGTCTCTACTTTTGACTCCTTAAACTTTCTGTTGCTCTACCCCTGCACCCTGCCAGTTACTGACAGTGCTTACAGAGTTTCGTATCCACATTAAAAGTACCCTTAAAAGGTTGTTGAGTGGATTCTGACTTTGCAACCCTAAAGGGAAGGGTGGAGCTGCCCCAACCGGTTTCCAAGACTGTCAATCTTTGTGCAAGCTGATGGCCACACCTAGTTCTCTGCAGAGCAGCTAGTGAGTCTGCGTCAGAGACCTGTAGGTTACCAGCCAGGTGCTTAATCATTGTGCCACCAGGGTTCCAAAAGTATTCTAGATACATATTATCTTAATTAGTATCAAGCAACTACAACATATTTATATCAAACATCAGAAGATCCAGTTTCACAAGATTCTTCTTATTCAGTCATATGGTATCAATTACCATCCACCCCCAATAATCACAAATTCACTATTGCTAAAGCAAACATTTCAATTGCTAATTAAAAGCATACATACGTTCTTTATTGCTGAAGTGATCAGTGTCTTTCCACATTAGTGGTATTCGGATATCTACAGAAGAGGGAAAAAGAAATGACAATAGAATTTTTTTCTAAGTTTCTTTAAAAAAAAACTAAGACATGAACTAAGGATTCCATAATGAATTTGAGAATGAATTCTGATAATTCTACAAAGTCAATCACATTCATTTAAAAAGCACTACGCTCATTCCTCCCCAATTACCAACTATCACAGAAATAATGAATTTATTAAGTGGTCTGTATACGGTAGTTTCATTTTGTGATCAACATTTTGAAAATAGACAAGTTGTGGGCAAATCAATTTGCTGAATTTCTATTTGGTAAGGAGTAATAACAACGGTAGTTAAATATATTTTAAAGCCAAGAGTCGAAGAAATAGAAGTGATGACAGCTTTTATCCAATATGTAAACTTCAAAGAAAATAAGCGAATTGTCTAAGATCACTGGTTTTAGACAGAGACCTAATTCTTGACAAAGAGATTTAAGATTTTTCCAAGAAGATTTGTCTACAAGAGAACTTCAGGATCTTATCTATTCATATGGACACAACATTTTCCTTAAGAAATAAAGCTAGAAAGAAGTACATACTGTACTGCCTTTTTTCAGGTCAAGAAATGGACATATTCTCTAAAAGTAATTTAAGTACATCCTCTTATCCACACATTCTTTAAACACTAAAGTAATTATGCTCATAGTCCTTTTCCCAGAAATCATCTAGAGTTTTGACATATTCTAAATTTGTAGTTTCCAGTGTATCCATTACTCTGGTTGCTTTTGTCTTAAACTATGGCAAAATGGGGGAAAGGAAATTTGCCCTTTGAACCAATTACAAATGAACAATTGGGCGATGTTCATTCCATTCACCACGTCATGCAAGCATCAGGACCCAGCGACCCAGTTTTCCAGGCCCCAAGTAGAAAGGTAGTTTCCCTTAGGTAATGAGCAACTGCTGCCAACCCCTGGTAGTCACTACTACACTTCAGAGTCTCCACACACTGACTTACTCCAGATAGTTTATATCAATGCGATCCGACTTATGAGTTGTCTTTTTGAGTCGTAATTCACTCAGTAAATGTTTTCATGGTTCATCTATGTTGTTGTCACATGTATTAGAACTTGATTTCTTTCCATATGGCTGAATAATATCTCATTATACACATATGTCACATTTTATTTATCCATTCATCTGCGAAAGAAAAGTTGGGCTGTTTCCATCTTTTGGCTATTGTGACTAATGCCTTACCTTTACCTTTCATACTAAGCAACAGCGGTGACAATTTTCATTGGACATTCTTTTGTTACCACCATGGGCTGAATTGCATCCCTCCCAGAAATAAATTTATGATTATAATCCCATTTGGGAATGGGTTGTCTTTGTCATGCTTAATAATTTTAAAATATGTTTTTACCAATTTAATAGCCAAGTGATGGGAATCAATTGCTTAGATTCTCATTTTCTTGATTTACGTGAATTATAAGAGTTCTTTTTATAGTGAAGATATTCTTGCAGAATTTCTGGTTGTTGGTTCCTTTTTATTTTACCTACGATTTAAAAATATTTAGAAAATGAAATAAACCAATCTTTCATTATTTTCCTATTATTTTATGTTTCAAAGCCCTCTTGGAGACATAGATAAGTGACTACATGCCTACAGTTTTTTCTAGGTATTATTTATGGTCTGTACTTTCAAAAAGAGTTTATGTGGAATTTTGGGGCACATAAAGTGAGAATATAAATATTCTTTAAAAAAAATTGTTCCAGCACCAGTTATGTATTCAATAGGTCTTCTCTTTCTCTGACTTATGATGCCGTCTTCATCACCTATGACCTTCCTAGTGACAGCTTCTCCACCACCTGTTTTACGGATCTCATTAAATCATTTATCATAATACTAAAGCCATAATTATCTCACACCTTTCCTATTAGAAAATACATTTCCTTTCAAAACCACCTATTCTCATTATATGAAATTTGGATTTTTTGGGTCAAATTCTCTCCCTTCCAAATGTTTCATTTCAAAATAAAACAAAATGAAAAACCCCTAAATCCACTGCCATTAAGTTCATTCTGACTCAACCAAGTTTTCTCAGAGAAATAGATCGCTAGGTCTTTATTCTATGACACCACTGGGTGAATTTAAACACCAGCTTTTAGTTTAGTGGATAGATGCAAACCATTTATAGCAACCGATAGCTATCATTTCATTTGAATCCTATTATACACATTAGTTTGGCAACTGATACCTTTATAGTAATGTTTTGACAGATTAGTATGGTACCAAACTCACTGCTTTCGAGTTGATTCCGACTCACAGCGACCCTATAGGACCGGGTAGAACTGCCCTGAGAGTTTCCGAGACTATAACTCCTCAGGAGAAAGCCCCTGTCTTTCTCCCATGGAATGGCTGGTGGTTTCAAACTGCTGACCTTGCAAAACAACTAATCACTAGTTACCCTGATATTTTTGTTACCGTGATTCTGGGGTATTTTTTGACATTATATTTTCTATATAGTTATTGCTGGTTTTGAGAGGAGATACTGGATTTTTTTGTTTTGTTTATATGTTTAGAATCTAGCCACCTTTATTAAATATTTTATTAACTCAAATAGTGATTCAGAAAATTCCTTCAACATTCCATGTCTTCTCTTCAAATGGCATTCAAAGTCTATTTCTTTGAGTAATTTCTCTTTGATTCTTATTATTTTTGCTAGACTTTCTAGAACAGTGCTAAATTATGGGGGAAATCATTATTTTGTTCTTGATTTTAATGAAAATGCCTTTTTAAAATACATAATTATGATTGGCCAATGCCCTGTTAAATGAGCCCATTCCTCTTGCTTGTCCACAGTTGCTGACTCACTCCACAGCGGTCCTTGTTCAGCTATTTACACGGTCGTTAAAGAAACAGGAGTTCTGGCGTCTGTGGTGCACACCCGGCTGTTAGTCAGCTTGCTCTCACCCGCGCCTAGGCATGCCAGCATCCCAAGAAGAAAAAGTAGGTGTTTCTTATAATTTCTCAGGTGGTCCCATATTGTTCAGGCAGCAAAAGACCCTTAAACCCACCAGCTACATTTCTCCCTTCAGCCTCCAATGGCAGAAATTCTTTACAGAATCTTGTAAATGGTAGCCTTAGTTTTACTTTACAGGATTCTTGCCGTTGTCTTTTTTGATATCTTCACTGCTATTTAATTGGCTAACTGAGAGAGCCATAATACAATGGGTGGTTTGATGTCTCGTGACATAAAAATCTATCATTTTAAAAAGTGAAAACTGAGATAGTTCATGAATTAATTTGGCTGCAGTCATAGGATTAATGAACAAGCTGAGATAAAAACGGTAATACAATTTGTTGGTGTTCAGCAGAAATAACCAGGATAAATGTTCTGCTTATTATTGCACTTTTACAAACAACTTGCAGTGAGTGGTACAGCTGGAAATGAGAATTCTAGGAATTTTGTGGCTACCAATGAAATCTCAGAAAAATTACGAGATTATGTAATCTCAGAAAAATTACTTTGTTATAAATATTCATCTTGACCAAAACAAGGCACACTCCCATCCCAATGTCAAAACAAAATGAAATTATAAAGGTAAATATTTTATTTTCCTTCTTTAAAAAACCAAAACACAGATACAATTAAGGTTAGACAAAAACTGAAAAGAATTTATAAACATAATACATTTTCTGAGACTTTTAGATCCTTAGCTTCATTTGAAATTATCTTTTGGAAAGAAGGAATACATGTAGAAATAAGTTCAACTTTTCCACTTGGAACACTCTTGATCAGGAAAATATTTTTAAATTTTATTTAAAATGGGGAAATGAAAATTTTACTTTAGAAAATTTCACCCAAGCAGACTTCTAAATATATAGTTAATCCCAAGATTATGAATTACTACCACCATAAACTTGTTATTACCATTGACATTTAAGTCTTCAATAGCAATTTAACCAATCTTATTTGTCTACTCTATCTTTGGAAATACTCTGTAAAGACTTATGTTTTACTTACTCGTGTTAAAATGTCCTGAAGATAGTGAATGGCTACTATATTAACAACTGCTATTGAGTCGATTCTGACTCATAGTGACCAAGGAAGTAGAAAACATGTTTTATTCCACTCCTATAACCGGAATGATGAAAGCATGCATATAAATAACTATAAAACAAGCAGCAGATTTTTATGTAGCTATTTTTCTGAAGAATTATTGACTTAGCTGAGGGCAATTCCTTTGATTTGGGCTAATTTTATCCTACAGAAAATTCAGATCTAGTCTTCTGAATAAGAATTTTTGTTTCTTCATAAACATTTTCTAAAAATAGCTCTTTGATGATAGGGCTGAAAGGCAACCGCAGGCTCCCTGCTACTAAGAGAATGAGGCTTTCGGCCAATGAAATAACCTCGTTAGTACTTAAGGACCCATGAAGGCAGATACTGATGTTTCCAAATATATACTGTTGAAATAATGCTTATCGAAGGTTCGTTATCTAACGATCACACACACGAGTAAGCCATGTGTTCACTTCAATCAGTGACATACTCAAGCCACTTTGTCTTGAGCTTTGAAGACTGCACAGCCTAAGTGCCATCTAGTGGTAAAGAGTCTCCTGACTAGTGGGAAGTGAGAAAGGAAAGCCGCCCAGTAGTAAAAACAGGAATGGATTTGTGGATGAGCCTGTAGGTCCAGAATGAAATAGTGAGATTTTAAGAGCTAAGTGGATATCAGAATCATGGGCTGTCTTCACAGGACAAAGAGAAGTGTCTGGCTAAACTGGACGGCTTGGGTCTGGAAAATAGCTGGGTCAGAATGGAAAACTCTGGGGGTGGGAAAGTTTGGTCCCTCATCCTGCGGTCAATTAATAGCAATCATCCACCCAGCAAATATTCAGTGAGCAATTATTTTGTGCCAAGCATTATGTTAGCTTCTGGGTATATAGTGATGATCAAAACAAACATGATTCCAACCTTCACGAAGCTTTTATATACTCAAAGCTTAAAAAGCTCAGCTGGTTATTGCGAGTAACTTCCCCTCTGAGTGTGGAGAAAATATGAACTACCCTACTTAGCTCATAAGGCTGAATTCAGGATAAAACTGTAACGCACATAATATAAAGTATGTAACATGTATGAAGGCGTTCCTCAACTATAAAGAACTATAAGGATCTAGAGCACAATAGCAAAACCAGTGTTTTAGGACAAAATGACAGATGGGTAAAATAAAACTGAAGAGAAACAAGGAATTTAAAAAAATAATAAAAACTTAAGGAAGTCACTTTTCATAATTGATGAAGCAATATACAAACAATCCATCACTTGTTTACCTGAGATGGCAATCTTTGCTTTACATGCTGTTCGTTCTTTATCTTCAATTTTCACATCACTGTCAAAAAGAAAGACGCTTATGAAAGAAACCCAAACTTTTCATTAAACAAATATTTTAAGCCTCTCAGAAGTGAATATATTTTAAAACCACCTATCTATAAATAATAATGACTTGCAATTAATGTAACTGAGTTGACTCAAACTTAATACATGGTTAGTCATGCTAACTGATTTTAACAGAAACACACAAAGCCATTCTCGCTCATTTCTCATATAAATTGTATAGTCTCTGGTGACTGCATACTGGCTTACTCTACAATGAAAATCCCTTTCCAGGGAGTATAAGATCTTTGATCACCATTTATTGAATTGTTTCCAGTTTCCAGTGACCTGAAAAAGTTGATGAACTTCCCAATCCTATAACTTACAAAGAGTAACTTATCCTTACAGAGTTTGACATTGGTTTTTTTTTTTAAAATCGGAAAAGTGCTGTTATATATTTAATTTTTCACTATAAAAAGTCCCTAGGTGGTGCAAGCAATTAAGCAATCGGCTACTAACTGAAAGGCTGATGGCTTGAACCCAATAGCTTTGTAAGTGAGGCCTGCGGGTCTGCTTCTACAACATCACAGCCCTGAAAACTCTGTTCCAGGGAGTTCTGTTCTTCCACATGGGGTCATCTGACACTGGGAGTGATTAAATGGCTACTGACAATATATGCATGTGCACTTAATACGCCATCTCTCTGAAGTTGCAAAGAACTACTGTATACTAAATGATAAATGAACTAACAGGCAAGAAAAGAAGGGATCTGCTCTGTAGAGAAAATAAAAGCCACTGAACTGTGCACGTATAATGGGTAAAATGGCCGGTTTTGTTTTTATGTTTACCACAATTAGAAAAATCATTTTTAAATGGTCTTTCCCACCAGCCAAGTTCAATCTTATTCTTAAAACAGCTCCCTAATATCCTATATTTCCTAGCAATCTACATTTATAGATTAGCGTTCTATTTCTATGGCAATATTTCTAAGAGTATTTTTATACCCTCTGTGAGGAGGTGGGAAGTAGAGTCTTTTTGGTTAGTTACTTAAATGCCAGCTATTTGGGTACTTCAAATATATAAGATGGAAACTTCATTATAATTCTCTTTGGTTCTAAAAGGGCTTTTGGAAAAAGACCAGGTGGGAGTATGGAGTGGAGAGCTATCTCCCTAAATTCTAAGCTATCTCAAAATACAACTATATTTTTTATCATGTTTCTAAAATTAAAGATAATTTAGCCCCTTTCTGGATTAGTCATGAAGTATTATATGTGAAAGTGTATTTCAAATGAGCGAAAACATTTACTCAAGTACGTAAGTTGATATTGATAGAACCACTTAAAGTCTCAAAAACCAAACTCACTGCCATCAAGTCAATTTTAACTCATCGTGCCCCTGTAGGGCCAGGCAGACTTGCCCCTGCGCAGTTTCTGAGACCGTAACTCTTTACAGGAGTTGAAAATCTCATCTTTCTCCTGTGGAGTGGCTGGTAGCTTTGAACTGCTGACCTTGCAGTTAGTAACCCAGTGCATAACCAAAGCAATATATTCTCAGAAGCCTATCTATTTACTTTATGATCACACCAGAGATCTAAGCTAACATAGAATACACTTAATTGAAATACAAACACTGATTATATTTCAACATAATATTCCAGTGAATGGTACATTTTAAAAGGATTCCATTCAGTATTTCCTATGTCACACATTAACTTGCTTAATTCGTCACAGTGAAACTTTCAACTGAATTATCTATTTTATATTTTAGAGAATGTAATATACTAAAAGGCCCATTGAAAATAAAATACAAATCTTAATTTCTTCTAATTGTTACAAGAAATCCAATAAAAACACACATATATTCTAGACCAGTGGTTTTCTTTGTGTGTGTGTGTTTGGGATACCATTATTATTATTTTTTAAATCATTTTATTGGGGGCTCATACAACTCTTATCAAAATTCATACATACATCAATTGTGTAAAGTACACCTGTACATTGTTGCCCTTATCATTCTCAAAACATTTGCTTGCTCTCTACTTAAACCCCTGGCATCAACTCATTTTCACCCTCCTTTCCCACTCCCTGCTGCCTCATGAACCCTTGATAATTTATAAATTATTATTCTGTCAT